ACCTCGGCATCGTACCCTATAAATAGGGGGGCTGCGAGATCTCCCGACTACTTTTGAAAACTTGACATTTTCACCCCTAAACTTATATTTTGAGTATTTTGACTTCCCCCGAAGCCCCGGTATCATTTTTAAAGCCCGGAATACGTCCCGAAGTACCCGAAAACCCGAAAATTTTTATCTTTTCGGTTTTGAAGCTCCAACTCTCGCAGAGCCCGATTTCTCAATAAAACTCCCGGTTTTATCAGAAACTATCATTTTAAGGAACGAATTGTTGTCCGATTATCATCAAATCAAGTGAGTGTATAGTCACTTTCATCTTACACGTAGATATGAAGTATTTTCTATAAAATACGTGTTATGTGTAATTATATTGATTTTTATTTGAGATGATTGTTGAATACAATGTTTTATACAAGTTATAAACTGTATGTGTATTTTATCTACAAATATGTTGGGTAGAACATGGGTAGACAAAATAGTTTATGTGTGTTAAAATGATGAGAGGCCTCGATGTTGTTGTTGTTCCAGTCATCTAGCGAAGTATGGATGACGACCACGGACTCTTCTAGACAGTCTAGTGGAACGCTAGCAGGCTCGCAACCTATAGGTGTTGTGAACGATGTGTTCACCGGTGTACTCCATCTCCCTCATGGTTGCCTTTAGGACATTTATTGTTGAGGAAGCCCTTTAGCAGTAGTGTCCATCCCGATGATAAAATCCCTAGACTAGGTCCCTTGTATAGGTATTTAGGGACGTAAAGTGAGGATAACGAGAATGGGTAATCAGGGTTATTGTTGGTTGATGAAATTAATAAATTTATTGTTGATCGATGAAATTAATAAATTTATTATTATTTGTGGGTTGAAAACCCTATATGCTCACCAGGCTCCCCAAGCCTGACCCACTCAGCTTACTGTTTTACAGGTAGTAGACTCAGAGCATAATTATGATGATGATGAGGGACTTTTGGATTATAGGCCATTAGTTGTAAATAACTGTTGTAAGGCTTATAATGTACTGTTTATACTTATGTACTGTATCGAACATGACATCCCAAGTCTTTTAATGAAATACATTTCTAAGGAGATGCTTTTGATAAATCTTTATCATATTATTGTTTTGGGACAAATTCCGCAATTCTTTTATTAAAAGTTTACTCTGATTTTGAAATAAAGTATAAACAAAACCGGTTTTTTCTAGCCGTGAAATTGGGGATGTCACAGATGCCGTAATCTAACATGCAAACAATTTGAAGGTAAGTGAATGACGATTCAGTAATTCTCCACCATGAAAAGATAACTTTAAGTTCTAAATGTATTGAGAATTCCTAGGTTTGGATGAGATTCATTGAACTTTTCAATGGCATGTTTAAATCTCAATATGCCCATCTCGTTTGTGACTAGGATACTGAGGATCACAAAGTGGGTATGAATTACCATGCAAATTCACATGGTGCCTTCATTGTAACGATCACCTATTCGATGTATCGGTAAACCACACACGCTTCATCAAACTATGATAAGCAATGAATAACCCTTTGCCACCTTTCATTAGAACCAATTAGTGTGCCGGTAAGCCACACACGCTCCACTAACTTCTTAGCAAGGGTGCAAAGTGTAATTTCATGAGATTGCATCAATTCACTTTTCCTAAAGTAACTAGGATTGGGAATTTTGAAAAACATGTAGTTACTTTGTATTTCTTATTATACTTTTAATAAGAAGATGAGGTTGCCCTATCGTACTTGTTCGGCTAACGACCCTCCACCGATCAAGCAAGCGGTGGGTGTGAGTGTACACCCATTAAGCGCAATTTTATAGACAGCAACCTTATACCCACCTTATAGACCGGCTTCGTGAATGAGGCCTACTAACGGTAAGACTAGCATTTTAATTATATATATATATATATATATATATATATATATATATATATATATATTAATCTTGTAATATTATATTAGTATAGGGTTAAATTTTAAACTTGTAAAATTCCAGGGTTTGAAATTTAAATTGTCCAAATTAAACTTTTAATCACAAAACATAAATTTCAAAACTTGAGGGTAGGTTTTAAACTTTTCAAAACATAAAGGATCAAACAACAAATAATTTAAATTAACATTTAATCACATAATTATCCATATTTGATTTATTTAATTATTTCTTGCAAAACAATTTACCAATTTAATTAAAATAATTAGTCAATTATCACATAAGGAAACTAATATTTAATCAATTGATAAATATCTTCAATTAGGTCAAGGATATACTCAAATATATCAAAAAATCAGATTTATATTGACCTAATATGATTAAGGTATGTTTCAAAAGGATAAACAACAATAAATCCCGAAATTAGCTCTTTCTGACGCTCGAACTCGCCGAGTACCACAATAGACTCGTCGAGTTGAGGCCTACTCGCCGAGTCCACTATGGGACTCGCCGAGTTCATCAGGTAGGAACACAAAAATCGAATTTTGCAAGCATCAAACAAGTAACCAATGCATCAATTCAATAGAAACCAATCTAGGCTCTGATACCACTGATGGGTTTTGGCCATATGAACATTCCTATGTGCACATACAAACCCTAATGCTTGGATCTAGGTTTCTCTAATTTAACATGCATGAATCCAAGACTTATAATGGTTATTCTAGCATAATAACATTGAGAATTCAGAGTTATAAGTTTACCTTGAATCACTGTTTGATCTTCTTGTTCTTCGAGCTTTAGAGTCACAATTATCACTCCTCTAATGGCTTACAAACACCAACTAGCAAGAGGATGATTTGAGAGAGTGGGGAATGACTTTGAAATCGGCCAGGGTTTCCTTACTAATGAGGGTGCCGATTTCCATGACCCTTAGGGTTTATTTATACTTGTAAGGCTCCTAAGGTTTTACCTTTAAACCCTAATTGGATAACTTAAGCCCTAAGCAATCCTAATCCCTTCATGATAACCCTTTGGACGGATTTTAGGATTATACTAAGCCCTAAAATCGTCCACCATATTATCCATAAGGAATCATAGCCTAAAGTATAACTATCACACATTTGACAGTTTAATCCCTTCTATTTAATTAATCTCTTTAAGTCACCAAATTAATTCCTAATTAATTTATGACTTATATTAATCAAATAATAATATTATACTATATAATATTTCAAATCTCATTGTAAATCATCCTATCAAGTTGCTATAGTGAAGGCAACCCAAAAGGACCATGCTCAATCGGGTCAAATACTTGTTTAATATAGTTGCAGCCTTAGACACTATTCCAACATGTCTTGTATCACTTCTGGTATTGGCTTTGTGTCTTTGGCCATGTAGAGCATGACTCATATAACTTTTGATATTGGCATAGGGCTGTGTAGGGTTGAAAGTCTGTATATTCTAGCAAAATGATAATCCGAAATTATATTTTCTGTACCACTTGAGCTGAAGTTTTATGATGTATACCATTTTGAAATTGTTGTGTCTCATTGATTGTAAATCTTTGAATCAAATCATTTGTTGATATGGAAAGCATGACATATTATACACATATGTCTTTGTTGTTCTTTGTCCCTCTTTGTTTCTGTCATATTGATATGTATATGACATAACGTTATATTGTAACTCTTATTAAACTCACTAAACGTCACCCGCTTATCCCTCACAGTGTTTAACTATCATAGGTAATAAACATTCAATATAGTCATGTACTTTTGGAAGATGTAGAATAGTTAATATTATCCCTTTTGTACTTAGTGTAAAAATTTATGGAAAGTTATGTAATATATAAAACTTTGTAAAATTCTTAATAGTTGGTTTGTATCCAGACTTTCGTAAATTATATTATGAATATGCATGTAGCATGTTTAGAGTAATAATTTATTAAAGTTTAGAGAAAGGGTTCTCTCAATATAATCCTAAACTATTATTAAATCTCCCTATGTCTCAAACGAGACTTGAACCTAAATATAATATAATCCTAAAACACTCTTAAATCTACCTATGTCTCATAGGAGACTGAACCCTCAACCTCAAGGAGGAAAAATAACATCTAATACCGTTGGATTAAAAGTCTTTTAGTAAAATAAAATGCATAATGGTCAATACATTAATTTTTCAGTGGATAGATAAAAATAAAGCTGGCAAAAATCGACCCAACCCATCAACCAAACCCGAACCCAACTTAAAATTAGCAGGTTGGGTTGAGATTTTCATCTCATTTAATTTAAATAGGTCAACCCGTCTAACCTATTTAATTAAATAGGTTGGGTCGGGTAAAAAGTATCAACTGTTTTCAACCCACCAACCTATTTAACTTTAATTTATATTTAATTTAATAATTATTTAAATATTATCATGTATTAATCTAAGTATTAGTTTATAAATAACAATATTTGTATTGTTATTTATGTTTAAAATAAATGGAATCATAATTCCTAACTTTTTGTTTTTATGCGCACAGCAATAGCTACTCTAAAAAATCACTTAGAAATTACATAACTTTAATGTTATTTGAAAATTTTATTTGTATATGTAAATTGGGATTATGTTTTTGTCATAATTTGAAATTTTAATTAAATCTATAACTACTTTAAGTGTTGTAATCTTTAGTTAATTTGTTTATTTATTTTTATTTTAAATTGGTCAACCTAAATTTAACCAATTTCTTTAATAGGTTGGGTTTGAGTTCTATATAAACGGGTCAACCTGGTGACAATCAATTTATCTGAAAAGTTGGGTTGAGGTTGGAAATATCAACTTATTTAAATAAAAGTAAATAAAAGATTAGGTTGAATTGAAATTTTCAACCCAATTAGTAATTAAATGGGTTGAACCCGAACTCAACCCAGATCGACCATTTGCTAAATTTTTGATAAAAAGTATAGTCATGGAATTGTAAATGTTTGAAGTATAGGGAAGAAGTGAAACTTTATTTGTTTACATATACGCCTAATTTGAGTTTTCCTGCAATTTTTGTGGAAAGGCAGCGTATGCTCTGTTGCCGCTATGGAAACAACGATGGTAGAAGGACAAAATAAACCTAAACGGCTAAAATGTCAAGACTTGGAGGAAGATCGAATCAGTGCGTTGCCAGATTGCTTGCTCCATGAAATCCTCTCTCGTTTACTCTCCACAAAAGCCGCCATTAGAACAGGTCTACTCTCAAAACGATGGAAACATCTTTGGACTTTGGTTCCTTCTCTCTATTTCAATGATTATATATGTAGTAGTACCGGGCCTGATTTCTTTTCAAACGTCGACAAAACCCTAACTCAATGCCGTCAATTGAAGCTCAAGAAACTCGATGTTGATATATGTTATAATATTCGATCTGGATCGCAAATCAGCAATTGGATTCGTTATGCTATAGATTGTAACGTTGAAGAGCTTAAGTTAAAGTTACTTACTATGAAAGATGAATTTTCGTTAGATCAATCTTTCTTTATCAACACATGTTTTACTGATCTGACAATATCAGGCTGCAAATTTAACCCATTTGGGGTGATTAGTTGGAAAACGCTTAGGAATTTGTGTATTTGCTTTACATATTTAGATGCAAATTTGATTGAAAACATATTATCTGGTAGTCCTCTATTGGAAACTTTGAAATTAGAAGGTTGCTATGGTTACAGTCGGCTCGATATTACTTCAAAAAGCTTGAAGAACTTGGTGTTATCTGGATACTACTATTTTCTACAGGATGATCAATATGAGGATGAATATGACCATCTTGACAATATTATGGAAATCAATGCGCCTAATATTCTATCACTAACAATCGAAGGTGATCTGTGGTTGTGGGATCTTTTGTTGCTAGATGTGTCTTCATTAATTGAAGCTAATTTAGATTATACATCTAAAAGCTTGTTTGGCGAGATAAGTGGAAATGTTAGTGCTTTTAAAGAAGCGGAAGAAGAGATGCTTAAAAGATTTATACTAAATCTTTCCCATGTCAAGGAGTTTAAAATTGGGTTTCGATGTAGTAAGGTAAAATATATTTTCGTTTGAGTTTAATATTGGCTGTTTGGATAAAGTGATTATAACTTTTCAGATTGTTTAGGGTTAATGTAACGAAAAAGCACCTAAGTTGTTTCTATAGCTAAAAAAAAACTAAACGGAATATTGAGATATTGTTAAATAACCTAGCTACCCATAGCTTTGATCAACTGATTAATCAATACATACATTGCATTGCTCTCATTTTTGTTGTCTTCTCACTTGTATTGTTCTGTTGGTAGGTTGTGTCTTGGTTGGAAGCAAAAGGTTTTGTTTTTCCATCAAATATCAAGTTTTCTTATGTTACTTGTGATTGGCCTGATACTGATGCTGATTGGTCTGATAGTAATGGTGATAGTGATACTGCAACTGATGACGATTCAGATGAAAGCGGAGATGGGGAAGTGTTCTTGCTTGATGATGGTCCTAATTCAGATAATCAGCTTAATTGATTGGTGACGCTTTGAATTCATGTTAACGCATTTTAGTCATCTCTTTTTAGGTTGTTTTTGTCCAAGTTTACTTGGTTGGGTTGGGTATTTGCTTGATCATGGTCCTCTGGATTCTGCATCATTTCTTATTTCAAGATATTGATCATTTTGTAATTTTCTATTGCATGTAACAAACGCAGCCTACATTGTGTGTGTTATGTATACATTTGTGTTTTGGAGTGTGAAGTCATGATGCATGCAGACATTAATTGTTTTTTTTATTTTTTGTTTCAAATCAGCTAACATGATACGGTATGCAGCTATAATTTTCTTATATTATAAACAAAAAATAATGCCGACCATCTTTTTAATGGATTCTATTATATTTTTTAAAAGATCATAATTATTAGAGTTGTCCAACAATGCCCAAATAACTATCACATTATCACCTTGCCGTTTGAGTTTCAACACATGTATTATTACATGAACTTTCTAATTTCAACTTTTGACCATTGTATAACATGCTAATTGTGGTCATGGCTTATGAACAATGTATTCTTTTGAGCTGAGGGCTTGCTAGTTTAGCACATCCGGCTGGTTTTCTTTGGTTCTGCAGCACGGCTACATCGGCTCAACTATCTTTCTTCTAATTGATACTCAGCATCTTCGTCTATTTTTTACCAAATTGAAGTTGCTATTTCCTTCTTGGTTTCACATTCCCCCCCCCCCCCCCCCCCCCCCCCCCCCCCTTTCTTGGTTTACCGTGGGTGTGCCACATATATTGTCGTCTCTTCTATATGTACGTTGTAGTTGAGTTATTGTCTAACCCAAATATAGTTAGCCTACAATCTTAGCCCATTTCTCATTTGTATTATATAATTTATGTATTATATAAATTATATAGTGTGAGCTAACTATAAATGGGTCACAAAACAAATAAGACTAGAACATAAATATACAAGATACGCGGTTTGAGAATATTAGAAACCATAAACCACATCACGAAAGCTTTAAGCCGCATTATGTGGTTTGATTTGGTGGTGACGGTTAGTACGGTTTTATTAGTTTCCAAGATTATGAAATATGAGTTTTTCTATTTGCACTTAGGGTTTGTCTTTTCTTTTTTTTTTTTTTTTTTTTTTTTTTTTTTGACAATTACAAAAATGGTAAGTTGATAGTTTAAATTAGTTATTACTTATGTATAGTTTATTAAAACCTCCCAAAAAATTTTGTTAAAAAAAAGTCCCGATTACAAAAAATTCAAATCAATCCTCTTTTACCGATATCTATTTATTTTACCCAGTTACCCTTAATAAAATCCTATTATTTTGGTATAGTTTATGACAACAAACCCCAATATTTTTTATTTACTTCACGTTTTTACTTTTTTTTTTCACTACAAATTTGGAAATTTCTTTGTTCAGATTATGAATAGAGATAAATGTGGTTAAGCTTCATAAAACCTAGGATCAAAGTCCTCCATAACAAATTAATTACTACAAAACAATGACGTTAACATCATTTTGAATTCATCATGGTACATATAATCCATTTCTCACACAAATTCATGTTAAAAATATTATAAGAGTAAAAAAAAATTGAAATTTCAAGATTTCTGTAGTGAAAGAGTAAAAGAGTCAACTGAACCAAAATTTGGTTACAACCATGTAATATTTTAGAACCAAGAAATTTAAAGATTTTTTATGAAAGAGTAGAAGATCTGAAATAAACTTAAAATTTTGGATTTAGTATATAATAAACCCAAATAAAGAGATTTTTCTGCAAATAGCGAGGTAAAAAATAGTTTACTGGTAAAAAAAGTTGGTTTGAATATTTTATCAAATAATCGAGATTTTTTGTTGACAAATAAAATTTATGACTTTTTCATAAATTGTACCAAAATATTGAGGCTTTTTTAAATATTTCTGAAAAATAACTATTAAAAGTAGTTCTAAATGTATTTTATAACAATAATTTTTTTCCTTTTTATCACAATTTCTATACCTTAAGGTGTTTATGGTTAATCAAGATACTTTAATACATTAAGTTGGCAGAATGTCATGAGTGCAAACAACAAATAAAATGATTACATGATGTCATAATTATATTTGCATGAAATCACATTATATATATATATATATATATATATATATATATATATATATATATATATATATATATATATATATATATATATATAATACGTTGCGGTGCGGTTTGAACCGCAATTTTATAAATAGAAATCTCAAACCACACCACATAGTGCAATATATAAGACTTACAACCTGCAAACCGTAATGGGAATGTCCAAAACCGTATAATGCAGTGTAGTGTCGTGATTTATGCGGCTTGATGCACACCCTAAGTTTTCGTTCTCTGTTGTTGGTATGCTCTTTTTCTGTTTGTTGGTTTTAGGGTTTATGTTGCGTGTGTTAATGTGTTTTTTTGGTGTTTCCCTGCTTTGTTTCTTTTTTGTCGTCTGTGTTTTGATGAACAATTTCATTCTTTGCTTTTCTTTTGGCATCTAGTTTTCTCTTTCTTGTCTGATGCGGCCGATACCATCTACCAGTTCATTAACAAATGCCTCAAATTGCATATTTGATTGTGATGTTATGATTTTCTTACTCTAGTAACTACAAATCATATCTTGAAACTCATTTCATACTAAGAAGGTTGAAAACACCTCGAAACATGTGGAGTAAAATGTTTTCTTACTCTAAGAACATATAAAATTAGAGTTGTAATGTTTTCGTTAATCGAGAAACAAAAGATAAACTGAGACCTATTCTATGACGTGTTTTCTCGTCGAGAATCCACACAAACTTTTGAATATTTGTTTTTAGCTTGCCAATGAATTTTTCTTGAGATAAAAAATCATATGTCAAGAAGCCAATGGGAGTCATATTCGTCTAGAGAGTTTTAAGAGTCAACCGACAATAAAACTTTTAGTTATCTCTAGCACGCGACCTGAGGTTGATGACCTATCGTGCTTGGTTGACACATTCTTATTTCGATGAACCTCTTGTTGAGTTGGCAACGCTTATGAGTTTTATGTCTTCATTTAACACAAAAACAAAAGCCGTTGGTCAGAGAAAGTACATTGATCAAAATGGGTGAGTTGCTAACAACATGGAAGCAATGGTAGGCCCTTGTGCTACTAGAGAGCAAGAAATTTGGAATAGAAAAGTTTAGTCTGTGAAGGAAAGCTAAATTTGATTTTGGTTTTGTCCTAAACCTTGTCTTATGATTGTAGGTTGGAAATGATAGATTCACATGGACGGGAACATATTTTACCATAAAATCTGGGTGGGAAAGTTTTCGCTCTAATTCATAAGAATGATTGTGAGGAAATATTTTTGCTGGTAGATTATAAGATTTGATAAAGATCAATATGGATACTAGTTGTGTTAATTGCATTCTAAAATTCACAATATGAGTATGACGTCCCTCTTTATATTTCAAATTGTGAGGAATTGGCAAGGAATTGTTTGACCTTTCAAGACATATATCTACAAATTTTGAAAGGGTTTAAACACACATATGTTATCCAATGAAGGTATATAAGCTTAAGAAGTCTAGTTGGTGACTTATCAAAGCATCGCGTAACAACAATTTGTACTTTAGTAAGAAAGTCATGAATATTGATTTCTAGAAGTCTAGTTGATTTATGGGTACATGTCAAAGCTTGTGGGGGCATAATTGTTATGTTAGTATTACATGTTGATAATACTGTTCAAAGGAAACAAATTTTTCAATTTACAAATTGCAAAGTTTGGGAATTGTTTTGCTATAGTAGATTTAAGAGAGAGGGAGCACATACTTTGTTTCGATTATAAAGGTCTAGATTGTATAGTTTAATACAAATTTATAATATACATATATAAATATTATGTTGAAATGGTTCAACATAGGAGACTCAATATATGAAAATATTATAGCGAGAGACAGAACATTTATCAAATCCTTATGTGAGGCATAACGAATTGAGTCCCGTATGCTTTGAATATAGGATCGATTACATATGTGATAATATTCTCTTATTCTTATTTGTCAAATGCTCAGAGCATTGTTAGAAAAAGGTCTAGAATGTTGTGTGACTAAAGTTGTTAAACTATTGTCAAGAACATTCTAAGGCTATACCAAAAGACTGGTTGCTTGTAGACAGTTAAAAGTATGTTATAAATTTGGATGGACCATAGTGACATAATTTTAGATTGAGATGGTTTTTGATCAGAATTGATGGTCATATGAATATATGGAAATGTTTCCATAATAGGGGATAGTTGAAAAGTCTACATGTGAGTTAAAATTTTTAATGAAAGAGAAGTGTTCAAGGAGTCTACCTCAAATTAGAACCTTCATTACCATAGTAACAAAGTTCCAATTGTATATTCTATAATATCAAAGACTCAGTGTTTGAGACTTTGGAATCTTGATATCACATGAGATTAATGCATCTTAAGTTGAAATTTCATCACATCTTGGATAGTGATAAGAATTTAGAATTATGAAATGAGCATCATTGTGTCTAAGTGATCTATTCACAAAGGAAGGATCATAGAGAGGCATAGTATGCATGTTCATAACATGGCATGAATGGTGTTTAATTCAAGTGGTTAGTTGATTGCTCAAAACATTATACAGTAAAAAAGTCGCAATTATTATGGTGATTAAATAATAGAGATTGTATATATTCAATACATTTGATACCATAGTTAATTAGTTTATTATTACGTTTTACTTTGCATGTTTTACTTCCTAAATAATTTGATTATTCGAAACTCCATAGTCACTCATACTTTAGGAAGTAAGTAGTGAATGAAGATTGTCATGAATAGGATTGTACATTGTCTAATAGTGCCTCATATTTGTACTATATCTACTATATAAAGACAAGTATAGACAAGCTATGATGTGAAAGATTTTATTTCCTAGCATGATGTTTAGCGAACTATTGTGTAAAGCTTTTACCTTCTTTGATGTTAAAGTTGTTCTAAATTACACTATACAAAACTCTTAACTCCATCAATAAATTGTAATTGGTTGAAGTTTAATCCTAAACATGTTATTTTTATATATTTAAGTGGAAAGATCAAACATGTTATGTAACTTAATCTTTAGTTTTCACAGAATATGTATAATGAATGGTCAAGCCATTAATTCTAACCTTTAGTTCCATTAATAATAAATATTGCCTAAACAATCTATGTGATTTTATATTTAAGCATTCATATTTTTAT